CCGCCACAACGCCCGGCTATTTTTTGGTTGCAGCCGTCATTGTTGTTTGGCGGGTCCGGGCTGGGGATTCGAACCTGCCACCTTAGGTGTACATGGCTGGCGCCTTAGCCAGTTGAGCTATAGGCGCCGAGCCCCCATGATCAATTCTTAAGTAATCTAAGAGAAAAGTCAAATGAGCAGGTTGGAATTTCCATCTCAGAAACACAGGTTGACTTAAAGACTTGGCATTAACTCACTCTGAGGAGGCCCCTCCCAGGAAGCTAGACTCCCAGGTCATCATCCTGAGAGGGTCGGGCTTCCATCCCTGGGGCTTCCATCACAATCTCTAGGTCTGAGGTAGCTTCCCTGAATTGAAGAGAGGCCACAGAGCAAGGGGTTACTACAAGTACCTGGTCTCAAACATTATGTCATCTTTCTCCGAGCTAATGTCAATAAGAATACCCTTATTAGTGCGGTATGAGCTGTCAGATTTTCTCACACCAAGTTCATCTCAAAAATTTCAATGCTTCCAGAGAATAGTCAAAATAAAAACTGTCCTAAAAGTCTAAAACAAGCTGGGTATGATGGCATGCACTTATAGTCCCAGCTGCTTGGGAGGCCAACACAGGAGAATTACTTGAATCCGAGTTCAAGACCAGCCTGAGCAATACAGTGAGACCCTGTCTCAAAATAAAAGTATCTAAAACAGCCCTTTGGAGGGCAACCCAGCAGCTGTATAATGGCAGAAAGACAGCTTGAGAGCTCGCTCTTAGGGCTCCTCCCACTGAGGTCCCACTGTACCTTCTTGGAAGCACAGGATACCCCAGTATCCATCTCTCTGTGCTGTCCTTACCTGCCTGCATATCTGTCTCCCCAGGAGACTGGGAGCTCTTGCTAACTCTAACCTCAGAGGCCTCCCCACACTGCTACCCCTCCCTGGAATAGCTTCCTACTATCCATCACATCCCACTCCTTCCAAGGCCTGCCCAAGCCCACCACCTCCAAAAGGCTGCTTTTCTATGAAAATCTGACAGCAGTGACTATATGCCATTCAACATCACACTTACTTGCTAATAATAATTCATCTTGGGTTACATGCAATGGCTTACACCTGTAATCTTAGCACTTTGGGAGGCAAGGTGGGAAGATCACTTGAGGCCACCAGTTTGAGACCAGCCTGAGCAAGAGCAAGTCTTCATCTCTACAAAAAAATAGAAAAATTAGATGGGTGTGGTGGCACACACCTGTAGTCTCAGCTACTTGGGAAGCTGAGGCAGGAGAATCACTTGAACCCAAGGGTTTGAGGCTGTGGTGAGCTATGACGACACTACTGCACTCTAGCCAGTAAGAGAAGGAAACCTGCCTCTAAAAAAAAAAAAAATTCACCTTGCTCATCTTGGCTCTTTCTACCATCCAAAGTACCTAAAACTTGACATTGATATAGCCTAGAGAAAGGCCACACTGAAGCATCTCCCATCACTGATTCCTACAATACCCTGCAGTGCCCATGAGACCAGAGGTGATGGCAGGAGAGAAGGAGTGTGTGAAAGCACCAGCATTTGAAAGGGACAGGTGTGAACCCTCCAAACACGGGAAATGGCTTTCAGCGATTCCTCTCCCTGCATTTTGGATGACCAGAGCACAGGCAGCCCATGATCACTTTCGGATGCAGGTGCACACAAGGGCAGAGAGAGACCCTGGAATAAAAGCAGATGCCAGCAACCCGGGGAATAGGCTGAGCCCAGGAAAACAACCAAGCCAAGCACAGGACCCCAATAGTGGCCCTTCTTTCCTGAAAAAGCCCCATAGAACCTTCCTGACACAAAGAATCAAAGAGAAGTCACTTTGTGCAATACTGGGAAAGTATTAGGTTTGGTAATGATGGGAATCATATTATCTAAAGTATCATAAAAGTTACCTCTGTCACAACTTTTTCTTTTTCTTTCTGTCTTTTCTTTTTTTTGAGACAGAGTCTTACTATGTCACCCTCGGTAGAGTGCCATGGCATCATAGCTCACAGCAACCTCAAACTCTTGGGATTAAGTGATTCTCTTGCCTCAGCCTCCCAAGTAGCTGGGACTACTGGCACCTGCCACAACGTCTGGCTAAACAACTTTATTTTTCAAAAGAAGAAAATCAAATTCTAGATTGGTCATTAACTGGGAGAGTGGCAGAAGGGGATTCAAAGCCAGGGACCAGAATCTCTGTTACCTAGATCTACCCATTTTACATTAAAACATGCTGCTGCTGACACCAGGGAGAGATGGCAGATACCAGACACCTCTCATTACCTGTGTGAGACTGCAGGTTTCTTCCCTGCAGCAGCCACTGAAGACATGGGAAGAGCCAGGGGTGATCTAGGTCAGCTGGGCTGAGCAGTGGATCTGGGGACCCATGATGTCACCATTATCTCACCTCTCAGCCTCCCTATGTCATTCTCCCAAAATCCCTGGGAACATGCACAGGGTTGTACTAGATGCAAGTAACCAAGACTCCAGATATAGACCAGTTATCTTACTTACGAGGACACTGAGGTCTAGAATGTTCCTGACATGACAACTCCCATGATGCTTCTGCAAACAGTGGACTCATCTGCAATAGAGGAGAAGCAAGAAATGAGCACCCAGCTTGTCCCTGCTCATGATGGGGGGGGGGGCATGGTAGGCACCCAGAAAGGGCTTAGCACAGTAGTTACCAGACAATAAGCACCCCATAGATGTTGGCTGTTTTATTTCCTGAGTAAACACTATTTCCTCATGAAAAAGAAAGTAGTTAACTCTAAAGAGAGAAGACAGTCGATTGCAGGATGGCCAATGTTTACTTTATCAGCATCAGGCAGAAAAGGATGCCAAAGCCAGGTTCATAGGAGTGTTCCACAACTGACTGGCCTTGACTTTGCTGGTCATCAGGGGGAACTTAAGCAACACACATAGCCTGATCCCAACAGCAGGGAGGAGGAAGTGAAAGGCCCAGTAATAATGGTAACACACTTGCAACCCCCTATACCAGGGGTCCTCAAACTTTTTAAACAGGGGTCAAGTTCACTGTCCCTCAGACTGTTGGAAGGCCGGACTGCGGGCCCCAGGATGAGTCGGCTGCTAAGCAGGACAGGGAGCGGTGGCAAAAACACCCAGCAGGCCAGATAAATGTCCTAGGCAGGCTGCATGTGGCCTGCGGGCCGTAGTTTGAGAACACCTGTCCCATACCCTAAAGGTCCTTAAGATGTGTGCAGACTTCAAAAGCAGGAGGTGGGAAAGCTCCCTCCCAGTGCCAGGCAACCCTTCCCATATTTCCTCTGCCTATACCATCAATGACCAGGACAAGGACAGCCTGTGATTGCTCATGAAAGCAAGGGCAAAAAAAGGCAGAGAGAAAGCCAGAAACAGAGGCCAAAGTTAGCAGCCTTCAGACTGCTCAAAAGTCAAGCCAAAGGATCCTGAGAGCTATTACTAACTAATGCCATAAAGATCCCATCTGCTCCCATCAAGAGAGTAGTAAACAGCAAGGCCAACTTCTGGTAAAAATGTCTAAATTGTTCATTCACCCCACAAATACTGAGTATCTACCAGGGGCCAAGCACCATGGGTTCAAAAACAAGTAACAGTCAAAGTCTCTGCCCTCACAGATATCTTGCAGCTTCTCTACAGGAAGTCAAGCTGGGGAGAATGAAGTTAACTTAGCCAGGATGTGACACCCCCTCCCAAACCCGGCCCCCCATCTGCTACACCAGATTTCCTCCTACACCAGAGCATTCAGTCAGGTCTCAGACCTGCCTGAGTTCCACAACCACCTGCCCCGCTGGTGCCAGCCAGAGGCAACCCAGAAGGTTGCCAGCTGCACTCACCCAGGCGCCCACCAGGGAGTGCAGATCAGGTTTATGCAGGAGACCAGAAGGCGCTGGCTACTGCAGAACCAACAAAGCCGTCCAAGGGAGAGTTTTCATCTGTCTCCAGGAGAGCCCCATATCCTAGAAGGCCTAGGCAGAGAAAAAGCACCAGAAAGGGACTTTAGGTCGGAGGTGGGGGCAGACTCTGTCCTCTGGGGCCCTGAGAGCATCCTCGATTTAAAGTCCAGCCAAATGGTCTGTAAAGCGGAGGTTTTCACACTTTTCACGGTTGAGGGGAAATTTGTTTACTGTCAAAAGGACTTGGAGAATGACCGGCACTTTGTCAGCAGCCACCGACAAGTGGTTTTGGGGGTTCCAATGCAAGGAGTCGCCGGTCAGGGACGGTGGCATGGAAGTCACCGGGGCTCTGGCGCCCCTCAGCCCGGGTTCACGGCCCTGGGTACAGCGTCGCTGGCCCCAGTTTCTAGTTACCGGCTCACACTTATCACTCCCGCGGGGGCGCTGGGCAGACACCGGGGCTGAGGTCCCACGGGGTCGGCTCAGCCCAAAGGCGGCCGAGGGCGCGGCTCAACCACCGATCTCTTCCCCGAGAGCACGCAAATCTCAAGGGGCCAAACCCGGCGGAGCGGAGGGGACGGGCCACTGCAGCAGGGGCCGAACCTGCTCTCCTTGTCCCCTCTGGGTTTCTTCGTCCCCCTTTTCTAAGGGAAGGGGGACGCAGAACTAGCCTTGGGAAGCCGCCGGGGGTCCCTGAACAGATGATGCCTCGAGCGCGGCGCCTGAGTGACCGATCCATCCAGGGCACCGGGCTTGACAACTGAGGGTACACAGTGTGCTGTGCTGGCAGGTGCGAGAACCACAGGCCCCAGGCCGCACCTCCAGGAAGCTCTCTCCCAGCCCGGAGTCTGCGGAAACGCGGCCTAGAGCGGCGCCCCCTCCTAGCCCAACCCGCGCAGACGCTCCTGCAGCGCCACCTGGCGGAGCGGGTCAGAAATTCTGACCCTCCACTAATGCCCTCCTTCATCCGAGCTTGTGTCCAACCAAGCATCTCTTCATTCGCCATCATTCCCACCCACGCACCCATCCATTTATCTTGGAAATATTTATGGAACATCAGCTTCATAATCCACCCAACTGTTTGTTCATCTCCTATCAGGCCATTGAAATATTCATCCATCCTTTCATCCACTCATCCATCCTTTCATCCACTCATCTGTCCACCAATTCATCTAATACATTTATTCATCTAGACTCCCATCCATCCAGAAAGTCTACAGAGCTATTTCATATCAGGGACTGGACTAAGCACTGGAAATGTAACGAAGAAGACAGACATGATCCTTGATTTTATGTCGGTTGCATTTCAGTGGGAATAATGAACAAGTGACCCAGAAAATGCAATAATTAAAAATCAGGGCCAGGCATGGTGGCTCACTTCTGTGATTCTAGCACTCTGGGAGGCCAAGGTGGGAAGATGGCTTGAACTCAGGAGTTCAAGACCAGCCTGGGCAAGAGTTTAGTAGATCCTGTCTCTACTAAAAATAGAAAAATTAGGCTCGGTGCCTGCGGCTCAAGTGACTAAGACACCAGCCACATACACCCAAGGTGGTGGGTTCAAATCCAGCCCGGGCCGCCAAACAACAATGATGGCTGCAACCAAAAAATAGCC